TAATTGGATATACTTTCTAAGAATTGCAATTCATCTCTCTCTCTCTCTCTCTCTCTCTCTCTCTCTCTCTCTCTCATTCTCTCTCTCTCTCTCTCACACACACACGTTTTGTCTTTCTCTCATTCCTCCAATATACTTTTTCTACTGTTTACAGCAGCAGTCCAGGGTAAAAATAAAAAATATATTTTTAAAAAAAGCTAATTAACAGCCCCACCCCTTATCCCCAATAAATTGAAAAAGAAAAACCAGGATATTTGCCAACTGGAGAGAATCTCTGTAAGAGTTTGATTATGTCTATGTAACAAAACCACACAACTAGTAGAAATGCTGTTGTATTGTAGTTCAATGGAGCTATCCCACAGTTATGCATATTTCAGCTATGTGACGCATAGTTCTAGAGGTCTACCCAGTACATAAAGCTCTGACACACACACACACAGTATTAGCAAGTCTAACTAGGCTAAAGTCCCTGTTCCAAAGAAACCGTTCCTTATAGCTGGTTTTCCTTTGGACTCTCCATGGCTCCTGTTGCATGTTTATAGGACTTCAAGTTAGCCAAAGGAATGTCTGTCATGTGATTGCCAGGGTTGAAATGCCCTTCCCCGGAGCCAAATTGCTTTCGGTCACTGAACTGGTTTCTGTTGCTATCTTCTTTCCAGGTCCTCGTCAACGTATGTCCGTTCACCAGTTTGTCCTTCTTAACCCATTCCTTCTGAGGTGCAAAGGTGGAGAGTGGAGACTTGGGCTGCTGGTATGAACCCAAGGTGGGAGGCATCCAACAGTTGTCTGAATGGCCCAGGACAAGACATTCTTGGGTGCACATTTCTGTAGCTTCCGCCAGTCCTCGCGGGCCAAGAGGTCCATCTGCAAGGAGGTGTGGGGGAGGCAGTGGGGAAAAGGAGTGGGGGTAGAAGAAGAAGAGGGAGGTTAGACTTTTAAACAATATCACACATATACACACAGAGAGTATCACAAGCATAGCCATCATCATAATTCAGTTAAATGGTTCACATGAACACTTTTTAAAAAAACAAAGAACGGGTGTATAAAACAGGAACTATCTTCATTGATTCCTGTAGTAAAAAGCCAGGACTTCTCTCAAGCACACATTACACAGAAAACCTTGCTTGATTCTGGATGAAAACCATTCCTAATGCTAAAAGCTAGGCACTAATGGAGCCAATTACCAAGGGAGATCGTGAACTCCTTTGCTGATTATATTCAAGCAGTCCCATCTTCCGGAGATGCATTCATGTTTACACCATACCGGGGGGGGGGGGGGGGTTGGACTTGATGGCCCAAATAGCTGCTTCCTACTAGGAAGTCTGCAGTGTGGGGCAGAATTCCAACCTTTCCATTGCTTTGTTTCAGATGTGCAAAGGAGAGCAATGGTTCTCCCAGAAGGTTCAGTTTTTCCTCCCAAATGGGCTGATTCAGCTATTTACAGAAGTATATAATCCTGAAGAGGAAACAGTCCATACTGCAGAACAGCTGGACAGGAATGCTTGGGCAGACCCAATCTGGAGGAAGAAGGGGACATTCCTGGTGAAAAAGAATGCTCTGGAAATTGACTGCCTCATTTTACTATATTACCTGCTATAGAAATGATCCGAAGAAATGTGTAAGCATGAAGAGTTAATCTGAGAAAGATTGCATTGATCACTGCAGAGAGGGAGGGAAGGGAAGTTAATCACTGATTGTTTACAGTTTCTCAAAGTCAAAATCACAGCCAGGAATGTGCAAAACCCTTTCTACACTTTCAGAAACTCAACTGGAAATACTAGCCTGCCCCAGAATTCTTATAATGAGTTCTGACCTGTTTCTACCGGCACAAACTTCATGCTCTTTCTTTGCATATTTCTCAATGGAGTGAAACTGCAGATGAGTTATTGATTTAACCGGTGAAGATATGATGGGGAAACAAGCCTGCAAAATGTATTCATCTCAAGTGACTTAGCCTTCCATTTTCCACCACCACCACCAATTTCTCATGAGATTCTGAATATATGACTGTTTTAAATGGAAATGATTGCCAACAGCAAAAGAAAAAGTCTTAACTTTCCTATTTTCTCTGAAGAAAGTTGCTTTCCTTATCTTATCTAGAGATAGTCAGTTGCTCTTTGCTTAAAACCAAGTGACAGGAAGTTGATCAGAAGGGATTTACTGACTTATTGGAAGCCCAAAATTAACAAATCACCAGGAGGGCTGTAGTTAAAAGAGACAATGCAAATAAGAGAAAAATGAACAACACCAATATAACATTTGCAAAATATGCAGACCGCCCAATTAACCCCCCCCCCCATTTTTCATATTTCAAACATAGAAGTCATTGTTTTGGGGTAAATACGATTATGGTTATGGTTGCATTTCTCTATATTTTCTCTTCCCTTCGCTTTAAAAGACCTTTCTAAAGTAAATTTTGTAAACTGCTGTCCCTCAAATTAAAAAAATAAAATAAATAAAGTTTGTCCATAGGTATGTATCACTTGATTTATCACCTTATGCCACAATAACAACTCTTAGAGGAAATGTGGTGATCAACAATGTTCTTCTTCAGAAATCTCTGAGTATTAGAGTGCTGAGTGATGAATGGACCATCTCTATCCCAATGAAATTCCATTTTTAGAAACCCATTGTCACAATCCCTATCTGCATTCTCCTTTGGGGGTTTCTTGGGCAAGACCACAGTTTGATGTAGTGCAACATGAACCTATAGTCAATTAATCCACTTTTTTCAAGCCAGACAACTGGTAGCGTATTCAGAGAAGTGGGTCTGAAGCTCAGGTTTGGCCAGCTGGTGGTGAATATGGGGAGGCTCTGGTGGGTCATGTGGCAGCCTTCTGAGGACCGCATTTGAGAATTACTTAATAGATGGTGCAAGGTCTGACTAAAAAAGGGGAAAAAAAGAATCATTGCCATTTGATGTTCAAAGTTGATGGCAGGCAGATTTTGACGCTCCAAGGCATTAACCAATGCTAGTGGTGGCAAAAAACTTTTCAGAGCATTTAGCAAAATTTTAGCAGGGTCCTGATAGGGGTAGAAATAATCTTACTTAGTAGTTCATCATCCCATTTGTCCTAAAGCAAATATAAGGTTTTCCAAAGGTGAAACTTAGATGAATTTCCTGGAAATTGAGGTAAACCTGAATGGACAGACAAACATTTTAACTTTTCTGCTCTGCTTGGCTGCCCCGTTAGCCCTTCCTAAGTAATCCTTGTCCCCCCACCTTCCAATGTTTGTCATGTAAACAAAGCAAAGCAAAGCAAAAAAACTGTTTATAGTCAAGCTAATAAGTTTAAGCATCCCAAGGGTCTGTACATTTTATTCTCTGCTTAATAATCATGTATACAGTCATTCAACCTCTCCTTGAAGAGCTAAACATCTCCCAGGGCTGCCATACCTGAGCTGCAAAAACCCATCAGTAGATGGGAGCCAAGGATTAGAGCCTTCTCCCTTTGCTATCAACCAGGACTAACCTCACCGAAGCTAGTTTTACATAAAGATTACCTTGGGAAGTAGAGTAAGGTAATGCAAAATTGAAGTTCCGTACACACACCTGGAGCTCTATACTTGCATATTACCTACTCTGTCATGGAGCTGCAGTTTATATTTAAACTCCCAGCATCCCACATAGAGTTAAGACACCCTTGTCCTGTGAGGCGACTGAAGTCAGATTCTTTCTTCCACCTACTACAGGGGCAAAGAACCGGAGACATTTCTTACTGCTGTTGGGTTGCAACTCCCAGAACAGCTAACAAATAGTCATGTTCCCAGGGACTGATGAGTGATGGTGTCCAAAGACATCCAGAAGAGAGTCCTTTAGATCTTGCTAAGTCATATGATGGCCAGTGCTGGGAGACCAGATTCCAATACAATCTGCTGATGTTGTTAAAGCCCAGCTCTTACGTCATCATTCTTTACAATGGAAATGCTAATTTCTTTTTAGCACTTTTATAAAGCAAAGTATTGTTTTACAGTAGAAGCTGTGAGCATGTTTCCATAATTCACACTCTTAGCCACTGAGAACTAGAAACACCATCCTATACAAACCTGTGTCTCTTCAAAAGAATACCCCAAAGATTTCAGCTCCAAAGATTTCGGAGAAGCAAGTACAGGATTCGACCTTGAATGTCATAGACTTTAAGAAGTTTGCATTAAAGAAGCATTTTGTTGGATGTTGCTATCCCTCTGGAGTTTTTAATGTTGTCATTTTCCCTCCCTCCTAATTTATTTGATTCTTCTATCATAACCCTTGGGAACACACTGGGCATGGATTAACATAAATGAAATAAAATGCCATAAAAGTGTGTAAGCAGTTGGGACCAGAAGCTTCCTACATTTTTCAAAGAGCACTACGATTTCAAGCTTTATATTTGTGAACTTTAGTGGCAGAACAACAACAACAAAATGATTCTTTACTTTGCAAATCTACCCTCACTGTTATAATCAAAGTGCTGCAGGTATTCCATGAAAAGGTGGGGAAAAATGGCTGGTAAAAAGGACTACCTCCAGCATATTGTTAACATTTCCAAAGGTTAATCTATAGGTTAAATGCTGATTATTTTCTTTTCTGCTGACAGCAGCAATTTGCTTTTAATTGGGTTTTCTCATTTTCTTTCACGCACAGTTATACAACCCTATCTTGCTGACCCAAAACAGAATGATTTGCCAAGGATTAAATCTTACCTACCCAGAAACTCACATAAACACACACGCACACACACTGAGTCCCTATGGACAGACATATTTCAGGAAATAGTTGGCACCAACGCTGTGCTTCTAGTGTGCATTGAAATAAATGTGATCCTCCAGCAGCCAGATACTGTCTAGCTTTTATGCGGTCCTCCAGAAACAGAAGAAACAAGTTCGGCTTCATATAACCGCTGACATCTCTTTCAGCATGAGCTTTAAATGAAACATAAGCCATTATAGTCCAGATGAAAATCTGCTCACAGCCCTTTAAACCACGTCAAATTAGTCTCAGAGAGATGTATTTCTCATTGAAGCGAATATGTGTAGCTCAGGGTTGAACTGAGGAGTCCTTGGGGTTCTCTGAGCTTGGCTCTTTTCTTGCAAATGTTTTGTTACCTGGCTAGGTAACATCTTCAGTGCTAAAATGGGACGGGGTTTGCTCTTTGTTTATATACTGTGGCCTGCCTTGCCAGTGTTGGAGGGGGGGGGGGGTTGTTTTATTTTTTCCTCTGGTAGTTCCTCAATTTGGGTATTGTTTACTGCTTGATTGTGTGCCTGGTGGTAACCTCTG